CCAACGTGAAAAAGACAAGTCCACTGAACACAACTGATGAAGATGGATATCCACAGGAAGGCTTGCTCAGCTGTCTGGACAGGGCTGCGGGGGGCTACCCTGCCGGGAAAGGAGAGGCTGGGCTAAGGACGCGGCCTGGAGGCAATGCAATGGTGCCCGTGCCCTTGACCCAGAAACGCAAGGACACGGATGGATGAGATGCTGAGGACAAGCTCAACTAGGTGATAGCACGTCCACCACCGCCCCCCAGCCCCAAGATCTTACGGAGATGTGCAAAGACAAAAGGCTTGACATTACCAAGAAGCATCACCTGCACTTTGAGGAACAAAAAGATGTTTGATCCCTGTGACCTTGAGAAGCTCATAGGATAGCACGGGGGAAAAGACACACTTCCCACAGTAAGATGCAACTTTCATCACAGCACTATTTATAATGGCAAACTATTGAAAAAACAACCCAATCTCACAAACAGAAAATTGGAAGAGAAAGTACGGCACATGCAGAATAGGGAACGATGGAATTGTATAAACAATGAGAAAGATGTCTATAAGCAGATATAAGAGTCTCCTGATATGCTGTTAATAAAGCTGAGTACAAGCACACATGGTAGGTTACCTTTGGTGTAAGAAAGAAGATGCGTTAAGACCACACATACATTATCTGCTTATTTTGTAAAAAAAAAAAAAAAAGGAAAATTCAGGAGGGGACACTAGGAGTTGCACAGAGGCGGATGGGCAGGGCGGTGACCTTTTTGTATGGTTTTGACTTTTAGAACTACTTAATGTTTTATGTATTCAAAAACGAAAATTAAATCAACAAAGATGGGAAAAAAACCCCTAAAATTCTATCAAGTCACATGAACCCAACTGTACCGCAGAGGAACAGAGAAGGGGAACCGCCCCAAGACTTGAACACAGCGCTTCCTACGCCTGTTCTGACAACAGAGCGGCAAACTAGCCTCGACCTTGATGCTGGCTTTCACACAAGTGCGGGGCAGCAATCCTACAACCATTCTTCGTGGACGGCAGGAATGATGACGCCGGGAGCCTGCAAGAGCCCAGAGGTACTGGACCGGAACAGCAGGTGTGAGCATGGACCCACAAGTGTTAGTGTAAATACATAAATAGGTAACAGAGACAGATGCAGGAAAGAGAAATGTGCACGTAGGTGTGTCTGCAGCAGGGACCTAGAGCAGAGACACCCCACTAGCAGCAAGCACAGCTAGCTCCCCACTGGTTTCTAAACCCCATTCTCCCCTAAAGGGAAACAAGAGCTGGTTCCCCAGCTGAAGCAGCAGAAAATATGAGACGCCTGAACATCTTGTCCAAAAAGTAAGTCCTCAAAAGATGAGGCCTGGGAACATGTCAAACGGACACAGGAGCCAGCCTCAAGAGATTTCCACAGGCCAAATTTGGAGCGATCTGAACATCAAAACAAATGACAGTAGTGGCCTATGACCCCATGAGTAAAAAAGAACTTGTGAGCCCACAGTGATGATGGATGGAGGCAGCAGGAAAGCTCTTCCCTACATAGAATGCCAACTAATAAACGTAGAATGGTGGAACTAGAAAACCACCATTTGAAATCATACTAACGGACTCAGGGAGGATTATGAATGAATGCTAAAGTAGGAGGTCAAAGCTTGAAAAGGAAGGGGATACTTATGTAGTTTGGTACATTTCCCCTTTTGACTATTTACAACAGGAAAGAGAGTCACTTGGTGGAAGAACCTCGCTGGCACTCCCTCACACGTGATCCGGGGGAAACCCCCAGTGATGGCCAGGCTCCCTTGCCTCCTGCTGGCACAATGCCCTAAGGAGGACCCAACGTCACTTCCACGGCATTCCTGCCAAAGATGCACACCCAAATCCACTTGTGAGGAAACACTAGACAAACCCAGCAGTTCATAAAATAAATGGCCTATAATTTCAAAAACAGAGTGGGCAAATGATACAGCCCATGTGGCAGGATGGTAATAATAGTGAAGCTTGGTGCACTGCATATGGGAATTCTTTTTTTTTTTTAAAGATTTTATTTTTTTCCTTTTTCTCCCCAAAGCCCCCGGGTACATAGCTGTATATTCTTCACTGTGGGTCCTTCTAGTTGTGGCATGTGGGATGCTGCCTCAGTGTGGTTTGATGAGCAGTGCCATGTCTGCGCCCAGGAGTCAAACCAACGAAACACTGGGCCGCCTGCAGCAGAGCGCGCGAACTTAACCACTCGGCCACGGGGCCAGCCCCTGCATACGGGAATTCTTGATGCTATTCTTGCAACTCTTTTGGTTGAAATTATTTCAAAATAAGTTTAGAGGGGCTGGCCCGGTAGTGCAGTGGTGAAGTTCGCACGTTCTGCTTTGGTGGCCTGGGGTTCACAGGTTTGGATCCCGGGAGAGACCTATGCACTGCTTGTTAAGCCATGCTGTGGCAGGGATCCTACGTATAATGTAGAAGATGGGCATGGATGTTAGCTGAGGGCCAGTCTTCCTCAGAAAAAAGAAGAGGATTGGCAGCAGATGTTAGCTCAGGGCTAATCTTCCTCAAAAAAAAAAAAAAGGTTTGCATGAGGACTGGCCCAGTGGCGTAGTGGTTGGGTTCAAGTGTTTGGATCCCAGGTGCAGACCTACATACTGCTCAGCAAGCCAAGCTGTGGCAGCGCCCCACATATAAAATAGAGGAAGACTGACACAGATGTTAATTCAGGGACAATTTCCTCAAGGAAAAAAGAGAAAGACTGGCAACAGATGTTAGCTCAGGGCGAAACTTCCTCACCAAAAAAAAAAAGAACTCCAGTGACATATGTGTTATCTACATACTTGTGCAAATGGGAACAAAAGCACCTGGAAGCCTACACTGTCAGCACTCAATGAACAGTTAAATGTTGACTGAAGAGGCAATCTACCAAAATGACATGAAAAAAGGGGAAGGGAGAGGGTAAACCCCAACATAAACTGTCAGCTTCAGCTAATAGTGTTCATCAACTGTAACAAATTCAACAGACTAACCCAATAAATACATAAAAACAAAAAAAAGAAATAACAGGGAAACAGTGGGAGAGGAAGAGAGAGGGCCGGGGTAGGGGGAACTCTGTACTTTAGGATCAGCTTTTCTGTATACTTAAAACTACCCAACAAAATAAAGTCTATCAATTAAAGAAAGGAGGGGACAGGAGGAAGAAAAAGCATTAATTAGTGCTTGCTGGGAACTACAGAAACACGGGCCCTCCATCCACAGGACTGGTGATTAAAAGGCCCTCCTGCAGGCACAGTCTCCAGCATCAGTGTCGGCACATTCACTGAACCTCACGAGGCCGGGGAGGGGTGGCAGAAGGGCAGTGTTTTTACACTTGCTCCCAGCGGTTTGCAGAGAAAAGCAGGTGCACAGAATGATTCTCCATCTCGTTTTTCTTTTCCAAATAAGAACTTAGAAGTTTGCCAATGTCAGTTGATCTTTCTAAAAAGAAAAAAAAGAGAAAAATAAAAGTGAGTTCAGGCTTCATCTCAATTAGAATACAGTTTGGGCTGAACTTCTGGTCTTAGACTCAAGCCTGACTTTGAGTTTTATTTTACCATGTCCCTAAACAGGTTCAGACCCTCCCCTGAAGCCAAAGGAATTTCCCCGAGAAAGGGCAGCAGTGTGCAGACACACCAGGATGAAAAATGCTTTAGGAAAAAAGAACTCAGGTAGAAAGCATTGACTCAAAGGAAGTATTTACAAGATCTGTAGACTGGTTGGCTTCAAGATTAGAATGATAAATATTCAAGAAAGCACTTTCTCCCATTTCCCTACCCCTGTTTTGTAAAGCTTAAGCTGTCTCTTGATAATCGAAGTATTGAGGACATTTTTATAAGCACTTTCAAGATCAATGTTTTACTTTAAAAATTAAAAATATGCCATAAAACCACTCAGAAGGCAAACAGCTATCCCCAAAAGACAAAAACCAAAAGCCGAGACACGGATTACAACACAGCACCAGGAGACTGGAGGGTGACAGATACAGCCGTCATCTTGATTGTGAATGTGGCTGCATGGGTGGATAATAACGTGAAAACTCATCAACTTGTACATTTTGGACACGTGCATTTTATTGTACATCAACTGTCATCATGAGAGCTGCACACAATCAAAGCGCAGCTGCACCAAGACTGAGGGACGGGGCCAGGCGACGACCAGGAACGACAACGTGAGAGCACGGCGCACAGAGGCTCCAGGACGCAGCCTCTCCGCCAAGTCAGTGTCCACCGGGGCCTGAGCCGAGCCCGGCTGCCCTCGGGCTAGACTCTGCCTCCGGGAGGAGCCATGGCGGGGGCGCGGAGCCAGAAGCGGGCTCCCAGCCCGCCCGCGGTCCCTGGCCCTCCGGCCCTCCGGCCCTCTGGGTCCCCTGACCCCCTGCATGCCCCAGTCCCCCAATCCCCTGGTTCCCCCCGGTACTCCGGGCCCCGTCCCCCTCGTCTCCCCGGCCCGGCCTTTCCTCCCGGCGGCTGCCCAGGCCCGCCAGGCCGGCTCGCGCGCCCCACACACCCGGGAAGCTGAGCAGCTCGGCGCGGTGGCCGGCGTCGCACAGAGCGGCCACCAGCCTGCGGCTCTGCGTGCTCTTCCCGGCGCGGTCCACGCCCTCCAGCACGATGAGCGCTCCACGCCGGCCCGCCATCGCCACATCTGCAGCTTGCCCGCGCTGCTGGGCCACTCGGAGCTCCCATTGGCCGGCGCTGGCTGAAATGGGCGGGCGCCCGCGGCGCGCGCAGGGATTGGCTGAGTGGGCTGGCGCCCGCGGCGCGCGCCGGGATTGGCTGAAGTGAGCCGGCTCCCGCGGCGCGCGCTGGGATTGACCCGTGTTTTCCGGCGTTGGTCGGATTGGCTGGGACGGGGCCGGGGGGCGGGACGAGACACCTTGGTCGCACAAGCCTCTTCCAGGCCGGAAGCCGGGCGCGCCGTGTCCCGCGCGAGCCGCCGTCCTTGGGAGCGCGCGAGACGGCGGAAGTGCGGCGCGGGCAGCAGGTGGACGCGGGGCCGGTCCGATTGTGTTCCCGGGCGGGGTGGGGACGGGCTCCCCGCGCTCGGTTCTCGAGATTACCTGGAGAGCGCTGGCATTGTCGCCGTCGTCGCTAGCGGCCTGAGAGTCCCAGTCCGACAAGGACGTGTTTGGACTCACGGGGAGGGCGGGGAGTGGTGGATCTGTGCTTCTGACTCTGAGGTACGGGCCCCGCGGGGTCAGCAGCCCTTTAGCCGAGGGCGGTGCTCGTCGGGTCGGAGATGGCCGTGGCGTCCAGGAAGCGCCCAGCGATGTCGCTGTTGTCCTAGGGACGTCGAGGGCGCGGGCGCTTTCAGGTGGGCCTGTCACCCACTAATTGCCCCTAGGAACTCAAGGTGGGGTTCAGAAGCCTTTGACTGTTTAAGAGCTGCAGTCACCAGCCACCGTGAAGCAGACCTAGCCCCACCACAAGAGCCTCGCCTATGACCTCTGTCTCATTTTTAATACAAAGATCTCCTCTTTGGGAGGAGTTTAGGCCTTATTACCATCCCTGTAGTGTATGTGGAGGCATGTTTTCCAACTGAGCCTGCGCAATGGAATACCCATCCCCTCCCTTTTGAATATTCATTCCCCATGCGAAATGAAGGGTCCCTGCTTCCCTTTGTTCCGGGATGCCAGGACTCTGGAAATGATTCCCGGTGGCCTCCTATTTGCTGCAAATATATCCTACTTTGTGTGATGACAACTTCTGGTCTGGAGTCTGATTTAACTCTCCAGGAAGGAACCTGTTTCGGTTTTGGTAACAGGACTGCGCCCTTGGGGAGTCTCGGCCTCTCCTCCCGTTACAATCGGTGCCTTCATCACCTGGTCTCCTCCCAGGGGCCCATCCCAGGATATTGCCACACTGGGGATCAGGACTCTGACGCTGAATTTGGGGTGGACACGGACATTCAGACCGTGCCCAGCTGGGAACTACTTTTCCAAGAGTTGGCCCCGTGTGGTGCGGCGTCAGAGTTTGCCAATGAGAGGCACTCGCGGGAAATTTGGAGGAGGTTGATTTTGGGGGAGGAAGTCACAGCCAGAAATGCAGCAGAGGTGAAATTCAAGGCCGGTTGGGAGGGAGCTCTCTGGAGCCGCCTGCTTCCTGCTGCAGACCAAGATGTTGGGGAGGGTTTCCTGGAGTGGGAGCGGCAGTGGCTTCCTGAGAGCTGTTGAGACCACCAGCTTTGCTCTTGGGCTGAGGTCATTGGCAACAGTTTCCCTGATTCCTCCCCGAGTTCTTTCCACAGTTGCACAAGCCCAGATTACCTTATGACCCGAGATACCTAGAGCAGCTTTATCTTTTCTGGTTGACCCTTGCCTGATTGGGTTTGGGTTCTGGAAGGGTGATAGGCTATGTTCTTGTTCCCACTTTGCTTCCTTCCTTGATGTTGAGCTTGGCCACATGCCTTCCATAAGGCTGCTGTAAAGTCATCAGAGCTGACATGCCTGTGCTCAGGTTCACCCATCCCCTTCCTGCCCCTCTGTGAGAACAGCATGTGCACATTAGAGCTGCTGTTTTCATCCTGGATCCTAGAGTAAAGACATCCTGCCACAGCCAAGCTACAGCCACTGTAGCTGATAGCGCCAGCGAGAAATAACCCATTGTGATTCCGAGTCACTGAGACTGGGGGATCCTTCGTTACTGCAGCACAATGCAGTGAAAGCTCGCGATTACAAAGACTGGTGCTTAATACCGTCTCATGGAGGCAAAACATCCTTTCGTCTGACCTATGTCTCATGTTCTAAAATGTCCACCTCCTTGCCTTCCGAAGGATGAAGGGATTAGAGTACAGAAGAGAACCCTCCAGGGTTGGGCAAGGCCCAGGACAGCCTCCGACCACATCTGGAGGATGGGCTCACCAGGCAGACAGGGAGGAATGCATGTGCGGTACATTGGCTTGTGGATGCTCAGCCTTCCTGGTCACCCACGGAATTGGAGGGAACATGGCTGCTGGGGCCTGGTATGCTGGGTGGGGGTGGGGTGCCCTTTGGATTGCAGGAATTGCTAAACTGGCACAAGTATAGTGAAGTTTGTTCTTAAGATACAACAGGCAGGGGCCGGCCCCTGGCGCAGCGGTTAAGTGCGCACGTTTTGCTTCGGTGGCCCAGGGTTCACTGGTTCAGATCCCCGGTGTGGACATGGCACTGCTTGGCAAGCCATGCTGTTGTAGGCGTCCCACATATAAAGTAGAGGAAGATGGGCATGGATGTTAGCTCAGGGCCAGTCTTCCTCAGTAAAAAGAGGAGGATTGGCAGCAGATGTTAGCTCAGGGCTAATCTTCCTCAAAAAAAAGAAAAGATACAACAGGCAATTTTGCTTCCACCTTTTCCAGCATGTCATGCCTCTTTTTATCAGGATGACTTTAAGTACCAGAATACCAGCCTAACTGTGGCTTAAACCATCAGGATATTTAATTATCTCACATAAGGCCAAGCCAGAGTTAGGCAGCCAAGAACTGCTTCTGCTGCTCACTGACGTCCAGTGTTGGGGCAACATCTCAGCAATCCTCTTAGCTTCTCCTTCATGGTCATGGGTGACTGCAGCATCTCTGTGTGTCCAGTCTGACTTCGTGGCCCCACATGGGCAGAGGAGAGCCCTCACATCTGGATGTCCAGTCTCTTGTGTGCTCTGCTACAATGACAAGTCTCTGGCCTGACCTTCAGCACAGCCTGCCCTGGAGCAGTGGGAGTAGGATCTCTCCACACCACCGTGGAGGCCTTCTGATGAGCGGGCACCATGGAGGAAATGATAGGATGCTGGGTTGAGTGTGCTTGGAGACAGGTGAAGTAAAACTGGTCATTAAGCTGAGAATTGTTGAAATTGGCTGATGGGCACATGGGGTTTATTATGGTCTCTCTAATTTTGTGTGTTTGAGATTTTCCATTAAAGTAAAAAGACTAAAACCCTTTTCCTGTTTCCTTGTTTCTTAGTGTGTTACACCTTCCATCTCCAGGATTTGGGTCAGACATTGCTACTATCCAGCAAAGTCTTTCTGTTTCAGCTAGGCTGCCATAACAAAATGCCACAGATGGAGTGGCTTCTTTTCTCACAGTCTGGAGGCTGGATGTCCAAGATCAAGGTGAGAGGAGGGTTGTTGTTTGGTGAGACTCTCCCTTTGAGTTGCAGACGGCTGCCTTCTCATCGAATAGATGGTTATATAGTTGGAATCGTCCAGTTCTCATTGTGTCCTCACACGGCCTTTCCTCAGCAAAGCTGTGGGGAGAGAGAGAGAGAGCTCTTGTGTCTCTTCCTCTTACCTACTTGTCCAAATACAGTCACATTGGGGATTAGGGGTTCAACCTATGAATTTCAGGGGGATATTCAGTCCATAGCACTCACCTGCTTCCGGAAGAATAGAGTCTGCTGGGCGCATCATTGCCCTGCTGCACTCCTTTTCCCAGCTCTCCTTGCAGTTAGATGTGGCCAGGTGACCAAGTTACTGCCAATGAAATGTGAGCAGAAGTGGTGTGTGCTCCTTCAGATACCTGATTGAACACTCTCCCTCTGCTTCCCCCCACCCCTTGCAACCCAGCCTTGACTATGAGGACAATGGCAAGGCCCTCTGGGGGCAGACACTGTGCTAGAAGGAATGTGGGTCCCTGAGTGACCCTGTGGAGCATGGCTGCTCACCCCATGGGCTGTTCACATTGGGACTGTTACATAAGAAATACAATTCTCTCTGTTCTAAGCCACTGGATTTTGGTTGGGTTTCTTTGTTAGGGTAGCTTAGCCTTCCCCTAAAGCACTGGTTCTCGATTGGGGGACTTTTGGATTGTTACAACTTGGGGTGGGGGTACTAACAGCATCTAGTGGGGAGAGGCCAGGGATGCTGTTAAACATCCTAAAAGGCACAGGACAGCCCCCCATGAAAAGAGTTATTGGGCCCAAGGTGTCAAAAGCTCTGAGGTTGAGAAACCCTGTTCTAAAGTATTCAGTAGTAAGAAGAGATAGTGAGGGAGTCACCTCTCATTTTGGTAGTTTCTAAAACAGGGTCTCTGTAAGAGAATCTGTCAGTTTTTGTATGTGAATGAAAGAAGACACATTACTCTCTGGGAGAAGTTGTTTCCAATATCTGCTATGTGAAGAGCCACTCTTTTAATAAAGCCTTTTTAGTCTTTTTTAGATGAAAGGCATGAAGACCGATTTCCCCATAGATAATGGGTAAAGGACATAAAGAAAATGATAGAAGAACTACAAATCGACAACAAATATGGAAAAACATCTTTAGCCTCAGTTAAAATCAAAGAAATACAAATTAAAACACTGAAGGTGGTTTTTTTTTTTTTTTGGTTATTTCTTTTTTTGTATCAAATTAGCAAAAATAAAAAGGCTGACGTGGGCAGGCCCGGTGGCTCAGCAGTTAAGTGTGCACATTCTGCTTTGGTGGCCTGGGGTTCACGGGTTCGGATCCCAGGTGCAGAGATGGCACCGCTTGGCAAGCCATGCTGTAGTAGGTGTAGGGGAGGAGGACATTTCCTCTACCTAATGTGGGTTCGCCTGGCCGGAGAACGAATTAAATTCACGAGACAGAATAGCAAGAGAAAATTAAACAAAGCTCTATGAGGACCATGGCCGGGGGCCTTTCTTCCCGAAGGAAGAAAGGGCCGAAGAAGTGGGGTGCACACAGTGGTTATATACCCCCAAACAGGGTGTTTACATGTGATTGAAATGTCCCTCCCACAATAGTCACAAGATTGCCCTGTGGTATAGCGCTTGATGGACACAGCAGGTAGTGGGTCTGCTCTCTCAGAGGGTGTAGCAGGAGGCAAGTCTATTGTCTCAAGCTGGGTGGTCACAGGTGAGCACAGCAATCTGTTCCTAGCCTAAGGAAAGATGCTTAATCCTTAAAGAAATGCCAAAGTTGGGAGGGGGAGGGAAGTTGCACCTTTATCTCAAGGGCCTTTGTTCTTGCCAAAGGGAATATACAATGCCTGCTCAAAGGCCACACTCAGGCCCTTTTGGAAAAAATAGCAAAGTCAGACCGAATTAGGCTTACACCAAATGGCTTCCTCATGTACTCCAATATATCCTTATTGCTTGCCATTTCTATTTGTCAATGTATAGATGGGAGAGGCTCAGGCAAGCAGAGCAACTCGCCAAAATGGCCGAAACCACCACCCCAAATATCATATCCAGCCAAAAGACAAAGGAAGACGCTGAGGGTGGGGGGAGCCAGTTACAGGAGATTACTAGACAAGCACAAACAAATGCACATTTAAGTGCTTGCCTTCCCCATTGATCAGGAGTTTCTAGAGATAAGGTCATCTCCCCTTCTTCCTGGTCCAGAGAGAGATATCTTTACAGATGGAGAGTTCCTTTGCCATGTAAATGTCTCTTACAAAGGGTAAGTAAATTCTACTTTTTAGTTGCTTTCCTGTCTGCAGATGAACCAGCTTCAAATAATCATGCCAGAGAGGCATATTTTGGCGTGGCCAAGACCAGTCCCCCACATTGGTGTCCCACATATAAAGTAGAGGAAGATGGGCACGGATGTTAGCTCGGGGCCAGTCTTCCTCAGGAAAAAGAGGAGGATTGGCAGCAGTTAGCTCAGGGCTAATCTTCCTCAAAAAATAAATAAATAAATAAAAAAGGCTGACGAAATCTAGGGTTGACAAAAGTGTGGAAATATACTCAGTGGCATGTCAGTTGTTGTAACCTTCCCCTTGAGCAATTCATTTAGAAATATCAGCACTTAGGGGGCCGGCCTGGTGGCACAGCGGTCAAGTTCACACATTCTGCTTTGCTGGCCCCAGGTTTGCCTGTTCAGATCCCAGGTGTTGACATGGCAGCACTTGGCAAAAGCCATGCTGTGGTAGGCGTCCCACATATAAAGTAGAGGAAGATGGGCATGGATGTTAGCTCAGGGCCAGTCTTCCTCAGCAAAAAGAGGAGGATTGGCAGCAGATGTTAGCTCAGGGCTAATCTTCCTAAAAAAAAAAAAAAGAATAAATAGAAGTATCAGCACTTAGAACATGCAATACCCTTTGAGCCAGCAATTCCATCTTTAAGAGTTTATCCTCGGGGCTGGCCCCGTGGCCGAGTGGTTAAGTTCGCGCACTCTGCTGCAGGCGGCCCAGTGTTTCGTTGGTTCGGATCCTGGGCGCGGACATGGCACTGCTCATCAAACCATGCTGAGGCAGCGTCCCATATGCCACAACTAGAAGGACCCACAACGAAGAATATACAACTATGTACTAGGGGGCTTTGGGGAGAAAAAGGAAAACAAAAATCTTAAAAAAAAAAGAGTTTATCCTAAAGAACTAACCAGACATTATGGTCAATTAAAGACGGCCACAGCCATTGCTACTCCTCCCGTTGACAGGTGGGGTCTAATTGCCTCCCTTTGAATCTGCGTTGCCCCGAACGACTTGCCTCACCAAGAGAATGTAGTGAGGTGATGTCTTGGAACAACTAAGGTGAGCTCACAAGAGTCTTGCAGCTTCTGATGAGGATTTTTAGGCTGCTTAATTTTAAAATGGTTTATGATGACGATTTTTAGGCTGGTTACTTTTAAAACTGCAGATGAGAAGCAGGCTCCGAGGACTGGAATTTTGCTTGCCCTTTTGAGACATTTGCGTTTGTGAAGGAAGGGGGGATGACCTTGTAGGGACCTGAAATTGGCCACCCCAGGATATGTCTCTTTGGCATCAGGATTGTTTTGGGCTGATTGCTTTCGATAAACTGGGACAGGGAAGGAGGCTCTGGGGAATGGAACTTGCCCTTGTTGGGACACATTTACATTTGTAAGGTAAATCTCTATCTGTAAAAGGTGCCTCCCTCTCTGTACCAGGAAGAAGAAGAGAGATGACCTTATCCCTAGAAACTCTTAATGGGGAAGGCAAGAACTTAAGTTGGTTGCTGTCTGGCAATCTCATGTAACTGATTTAGGGTGGTGGCTTCTGACCTTTACTTAATCCGATTTGATTCTTGTCTAAAAGTCATGGGATCACCCAACGACCAGACCCCACCTGCACTGACACCATTTTAACTTTTTTTCATGTTCTTTCCTTTGTCTTCATAAAGAGATGACTCACATACCTATGCCTTAAATTTAGCCCTAACCCTCAACTCGGGGCAGCAGCAGGAGCTCTGACTGCCCATGGGTCCTGTCCCCACGCACCAGCTCTGCCTGCCCATGGGCTCTGTCCCCATGCCAGTGGGGGCAGCAGAAGCGGCGGCAGCAGAAGCTCTGACTGCCCATGGGTCCTGTCCCCATGCTATGCTACACTATTCTCTAAATAAAAGAGCACTACTGCCAGATCTTAAGAGTCTAAGAAATCTTTCTTTCGACTCCTCGGCTCACCGACCCCGCATCAGCTTCCACTGAGGCCTCCTGGAATGCTCTGGAAGCCCTGAGTGATCACATAAGAAGGACTACGACCTGGGAGCCCTGTGCCGGAGAGGCCACATGTAGGTGCTCTGGTCCATGGTGCCAGTTGAACAGAGCCTTCAGCCACCCCAGTGGTCTCTATTGTGTCACAAAGAACAGAAGAATCAGCCAGCTGAGCCCTGCTGGAAGGCCTGACATAAAAATTGTGAGCTATAATAAAATGGTTCTTTTAAACCACTAAGGTTTCAGTTAGTTTATTATGCAGCAATAAATAACTGGAACAGACAGATACAAACAGCTAAATGGACAAAAGTTCACCAGAACATTATTTACGGTAATGGAGAATTGGAAACAATCAAAAGATTGTGCATTGATAAGGAGTTTGTTAAAGTATGGTACATCAACACAAGGAAATATACCTAGTAAACAGAATGAGGTAGAATTGAGTAAAACATGGCCAGATGTTCATGAAGAGTATTAACTTAAAAATTTAAATAGTAAAAAAGTGGATAGTTTGACTCACCAATAAGAAAACAGCCCAATTAAAAAATGGGCAAAAGATCTGGACAGACACCTCAGTAAAGATATACAGATGGCAAATATGCACGTGAAAAGGTGCTCAACACCATACGTCACCAGAGGAACAGAAATAAAAAGAGATACCTCTACACACCTCTTAGGATGGCCAAAATCCAGAACACAGACGACAAATCCTGGCGAGGATGTAGAGCAACAAGAACTCTCATTCCTTGCTGGTGGGAATGCAGCCACTTTGGAAGGCATTTTGGTGGTTTCTTACAAAAGTAAATGTAATCTTACACTACAATCCAGCAAGGGAACTTCTTGGTATTTACCCAAAGGAATTGAAAACTGTGTCCATACAAAAACTTATCCGCAAATGATTATAGTTGCTTTATTCATATTTGCCCAAACTTGGAAGCAACCAAGATGTCCTTCAATAGGTGAGTGGATAAACTGTGGTCCATCCAGACAATGGACTATTATTCACTGTTAAGAAGGAACGAACTATGAAGCCACAAAAATGCATGGAGGAAACTTAAAATGCATATTACTAAGTGAAAGAAGCCAATTGGAAAAGGCTACATACCGTATGATTCCAACTATTTAACATTCTGGAAAAGGCAAAACCGTAGACAGTAAAAACATCAGTGCTTACCAGGGCGTGTGTGGGGCGGGGAGAGGGTTTAATACATGGAGCTCAGGGGATTTTTAGAGCAGAGAGGCTATTCTCTGTGACACTACAATAGAGGATGCATGAGTTTATACATTTGTCAAAACCTATAGAATCCTGCAGCTGGCCCTGTGGCTGAGTGGCTGAGTTCGCGCGCTCTGCTTCAGCAGCCCAGGGTTTTGCTGGTTCGAATTCTGGACACGGACACGGCACCACTGGTCAGGCCATGCTGAGGCAGCATCCCACATGCCACAACTAGAAGGACCCACAAATAAAAATACACAACTATGTACTGGGGGGTTTTGGGGAGAAAAAGGAAAAATAAAATCTTTAAAAACCCCACAAAACCTATAGAATCGTATAACAGAGTGAACCCTAAGGTAAACTATGGGCATTAGTTAATAACAATGTATCAGTGTTGTTTCATCAATTGTAATAAATGTACTGTTACCACCCAAAGGGTGGGGGTTGTCTGCCCGCCACAAGACATGCCAATAGTCAAGAGGCAAGGCCGTAGGAGAGAAAGACTTTTTTATTACAGCTTGCTAGTGAGGGGGAAAATGGTCCACTAACGTCTGAAAGAACCATCTTATAGAACAAAGACTACAGGCCAGTTATATAGCAGGCTGGGCTCCGCGTACGGGCATCCATCTGATTTCCGGGTGGGAGTAGACATCTGGTCTTAGTTCTCAATAGTCTTTTGTTTTACTGGACATGCCTCAGAGACCAGAGCAACACCCTATACTCTGATCTTTTAGTTGTCTGATGATGGCTTTCAGCATAGACTCTCTGCCTGGGGTCATCCCATTCCTAAGGAACTCGCAAGAACAAAGTTATCAATTTATAGGTGCTGGGAGGGGCCATATAATCTACAAAGTATGTCTGGGTTAGTTAATCAGAGGTCATTCAATGTTACAATGCCGTTTCTCTTCTACAATATGGCTTCCCTTATGTCAACCTTGTGTGGAGCCAGTATCAGTACCACACAAATGCAAAAGATTTATAATAGGGGAAACTGTGTGTGTGTGGAAAGAGTATATAGGAACTTTTATTTTCTTCTCAATTTTTCTGCAAACCTAAAACTGCTCTAAAAAATAAAGTGTTAATTAAAAAAATAATTTAGTCACTTAAAACAATAAATAAGATGGGTAGTGTGCAATTACGTACGCGTGTCTGCATGTGTTTTCTCATCTAGTATTACATGGGGCCAGAAATGATGCACCCAAACTGCTAAGATAGGGATTCAAAGGTGACAATCACAGTCCTGTCCCCGAGGATGGGGGGACACTCTTAAGTTCCTGTATAGTTTGAATTTGTATAAGGAACGTAAATTAGGCAAAAACAACGAATATGTTTCCACTTTTAAAATTTGGGGTTTCAGGAACAGTTCAGGAAGCGGGGAATATCTCTAAACACGCATCTTCAATAATGCAACTACTGCTCCATGGGTCAGGGCGTGCTACTGGTGTGACCGACAACCCTGAATCACGAGGTCAAGGATGGGTGGGTTCTGGGGCCCAGGCTCACCCAGTGTGGTCGTCAGCTGTTCCTTGGTGCCCCGATCCGGCGGAGGCATGAGGAGCCCCTTCCCCGAGGCCCGCGCTGGCCAGGGAGGACACAAGGGCTGCAGAGGCTGACCCCCGACCCCGCTGGCCGCCCGGTCTCCGGCGCGCATCCGCGCGCTCTCGCGGACCCTCTGGGTCCCCGGACCACGTTCGTCCCCTCGCGGGCACCCGCTCTGTGCCCCAACTACCCAGGGCGCCCGTACATAGGCGCGGACCTCTGGCGGGAAGCGGACGGCCGGACCCCGGGGCCACGTGGCGCCGAGGGCCTGGCGTAACGGGCAGAAGCAAGGCGTCCGGGCCTGCGGGCCCTGATCCCGCGCGCACTGGGCCCCATAGGGCCCCCCGCCCTCCCCGGAAGCGCCGCCAGACCCCCGCCGCCCAGCTCCCGCGCAGCGCCGCGCGCAACCCGCCGACCGGAAGCCGGAGGGCGTGGCCGGCCACCGCCCCGCCCCCGGCGGGCCAATCAGCGCGCGAGGCTCATGAATAGTGAGCGCGCCGGCCCCGCCCTTCGCCCCTCGCGGCGCCGCCCGCCCGCGCAGACCCAGAGCGCGGCCGCGGACGAAGATGGCGACCGCCATGTACTTGGAGCACTACCTGGACAGTAAGCGCCCTCCGCGCGCCCCGGGCCCGCCGCCCGCGCGCAGCCCTCCCCACCGCGCCCCGCTGCGCGCCAAACCTCGCGCGGGGACCCCGGGGCTCGTGGGGGAGGCAGGGCGGCCGGCGGCGGCGGGGGCGGCGGGGGCGCGCGCGGGGCGGGGCCGCGAGAGTGGTGCGCGCGGGGGGCGCGGCGCGGGGGCTCGCCGTCATGGCCGCGCCAATTCCAGGTGCGTCACGGCGGGGCGGGGCCGACGGCGTGGGGCGGGGCCGGCGCGTCCAAGCCCCGCCCTCCCTGGCGGCCCCACCCACCCATGACCCTCCCCAAGTGGCTAGGCCCCGCCCCTCCCTGCCAGGCCCCGCCCCATCATCGACTAGCCACGCCCCTCCTGGCTAGGCCGCCGTTCTCTTCGACCCTGCCCCGCCCTCCCCACTTTAGCCTTAGGCCTTGGCCTCGTCCCGCTCTCCCCGCTGGGCCCCGCCCTCCTCGCCTAGGCCCCGCCCCTGCCCCGCCCCGCTTGGCCCGGCTCCCATTTGCCCACGCGGGTGGTCAAGTCCCAACCTTGCATGGACTCTGGGTCGGCGGAGCGGGGCTCAGGGCTTTTGTGCCTGTTCGTGCTGTGACCCGGGAATCCACGGGGAGGCGATGCTGGCGGAGGGTCTCCCAGGGTGCCTGTCTCTGCTGGGTACCTGCAGGGCTGGTTAAGGTGTGGAGATCCTTGAGGCTCCTCCTGCGGGCTTCCTTCCGTCTACAGGTAGCATAGGTTGGACCCTCCTGACAACTCCTGAGCAGATGATTTTTTCTCGCATTTCTACAGAGAGAAAGTGGGCCACAGGCCCTGGAGAGTGGGGAGCCCACCTTTCAACCCTGCCCATCTGGCTCTGGCCGGGCGGTGGCCTAGGTGTGGGCTTGGATTGGGTGGCTGTAGAGTGCTGGGCTGCACTGCGGGTATTTACGGTCACTCAGGCCTGGCTGCCCAGAGCCCCACCTGAGGCTGCTGAGAGCTGAGAGTGAGACCCTGCTCTGTGGGAGACTGTGGGGATCCCCAAAGGGGCTGCCCCATCCTGGCCATTTGTTCTGCTGTCGGTGGAGGAGAAGCTCCTCCCTGCCACTGTCACCAGAGGCCTGCACCCACATGTCTGTTGGGGAGCACTGTGGCTTGCCCTTCATCCTGGTACCTGTCCAGTGCACCCCATAAAGAGGGTTTCAGAAATGTGAGTTCTGTCGTGCTCAGGGCCCCGGTGTGAAGGCTTGGGAATGGAGGCTTTCTCCCTCCTTGAGCACCTGCTGTGTGCCAGGAAAGCAAGCATGATCCCCATTTTCCTGGAACTTATTCTCAGATGGAGCAGTCGGAGTCTGTAAAGGCCAGCAGGTCATGAGAGAGTCAGGGGTGTGAGCGGGGGGCACTGGCCTGCAGAGCCCTAAGTGGGACAGAGCGGCGGGGACTGGGGAGCCTGGAGGCTGTGGAGGGAGTTCGTCTCACCCTCTGGGTGAGCTGGGACGCACTGGGGCTTTAAGTGGCAGCTTTGTAAGGTTGGATTAGCTCTTAAAATGATCGCCTGCACCTGGGGAGAGTGGAGGGCGGTCAGGACTGGACGCAGGAGCCCAGTCGGGCGTGTTGTGGCCATGCAGGTGGGTGGGGAGGTTGGCCTGAACTAGGAGGATGACAGTGCAGACAGGAAAGCAGCGTGGGGTGGGGTCCTCGACCTGCGCTGTCCAGCGTGGTCTGTTCAACTTCAAATTAATTAAACTTGAGTAGAATTAAGTTTAGTCCCTCTGTCATCCTAGCCCCATTTCAGTGCTCAGCAGCCCATGTGCCAGTGCCCGCTGTATCGGGCAGCTCAGAGAGAGAGCATTTCCATCCTTGCATCAAGTTCTACCAGACGTGCTGGTCTGCACTACCTGATGCACTGGAGTTCAGAGTCAGGTGGAGGGAAGATCAGGCAGCACCCTAGGGTTTGGACTTGCTCACGGTGCTGGGTTATCTGCAGGGGGAATGCCTGTGGAGGAGCCACTCGGGCCATCTTCCCTGCCTGTGCTCACAGCTCCTTTCTAAGTTCACCTCTAACTTCCCGAGCTTCTGACCACTTCTGAAGCGTGTCAGCCTATTCTCAGTGTTTGGTATGTGTCCCTCAGCAAAGATCCCTTAATCCTTCTCCTCCGCAAACCCTAACAGGAACAGAAGACAAAGTGGGCTTACTATTTGTAGACTTTAGGAAGTCTAAATCTGGAAGGCAGATGTCGTCCTGCCACTGAGAAGTACATGTCTCCGTGTTTCAGGTATCGAGAACCTTCCCTGCGAACTTCAGAGGAACTTCCAGCTGATGCGAGAGCTGGACCAGAGGACAGAAGGTGGGCTCAGGGGGCCGGCACGGTGGGCTGCGGCCCGGCTCTGGGCACTGGGAGGTGTCTTAGAGAGAGAGCTGACACTTTAAGATCAAGCTTAGCTCCTTGGATTCTCACACATCTTCACGTCCCATCTTTATGCCATCATCGCCTCCTTGCAGTCAAAACGTTCGTTACCTTTTCTTTCCTTTAAAAAATTTTCTGTTTTCTGACTATGTGTGCCGAGTTTAAATAGATAGCACTTTCTGATCTCTTGATGTTTAACTTGCCATTTCTAAAAGTCATGTTTTTGCTGCTATTTCTTATTTTATTTTCCTTCAGTTTTAGATTTTGTCTACCTAGTTGTTACGGAAAATGAAGATTTACTTTTCCCGTTGCACCCCGCCAGCTCACGCCCCCATCTCCTGGTGTACGGCTTAGAACTTGAGGCGGTGTGGACTGGTGATAGTGTTTCCCTGGGACCGCTGTGTAGGTAGTTTACAACTGAGCCACACCACATGCTGTGCTTACGTGGCCTTTTCTGAATGACTGTGGTTTTCTTGGAGTTCTGTGTCTGCTGCACCAGGTTCTCTGCAGTTCTGTGTCTGCTGCCACGGACATGGCTCTCCTGGAGCCCCCTGTCCTGCCGGTCCCGTCTGGGCTGGTTGTTTCTAGGCCTGCAGCACAGGTGCTGCCCTGAGCTGTCCTGGCCTCTCCCTCCTCTCCTCTTCGGTGCAGGACCCTGTTTCCTCCCTTGTAAGCGTCCTCTTTCTTGATTTGCCCACTTGTTTCAGAGGAGCCTTTCCTCCAGTAGCTTCCTGAGAAAGAGTGCGTGAGAAGGTAAACTTCTTATAACATTGTGCGTCTCAAGACAGGTTTCTCCCAGCCTCCTAGTCAGTTAGTAGTTTGACTGGGTATAGAGTTCCAGACGGACCGGCAGTGTCCCTCAGAATGTGGAGGTGTTGCTGCGTTGTCTCCTTGCTCCACTCTTGCTCTTGAGAAATCTGATGCCTTGTGGATTCCTCACCCTTTGTTCGTGGTCATTTTTATCGTCCTGCTTAGGAGCTTTTGGGCTGTTCTCTTTGTCCCCAAGGTTTTGCACTCCATGATGATGTCCTTGGGTGGGGGTGACTTTTCATTCATTGTGCCAGGCACGTGCTTTGCAAGATTGAATAGCCGTGGTTTTTCACTAAGGTGTAGCGTCCCGCCTAAAGGGTGCCGAGACTTCTCTTATTGTGAAATACAGCATTTACCTTCAGAAATAAGCATAAATGTTTACAGATTGCTTAACGAATATCACCTGGTGATCCTCTCCCCAGATGGAGAAATGGAGCCTCTGGTGCCTGGGGGCCCTGTTTGACCCTCCTGAGCGGACGCCACTCCCACAAGGGGCTGCCCCCTGAGATTCCACCTGCAGCAGTGGAGTAACAAGTTGTGTCTGTTTCCACCCTTAGTATCAGTGGAATCATACGCTGTGTTTTCCTCTGAGTCTTCCTGGTCTCACTCAGTGTCACCTTTTGTGGGATACTCCGTGTTGTCCCGTGTGGCAGCAGTTGGTTCCTTTTGTTGCTGGGCGTTCTGTTGTATGAGTGGGCTGCAGCTTATTTATCTGTTTTACTGTAGATGGCATGTTTGGGTTGTTTTCTGTTATCTGCACTTAGGAAGGTTTTCCTGTGTGTATCCTGGTGTGTAAATCTTTAGAGGATGTACCTAGTAGTAGCATGCCAGGTCATAGGTAGAGTGGGTACATAATTTATTATTCAGACAGGGACTCTTGGGAGCCAAAGAGGGCACAATGAGTACTAGCTGGCACAGCAGTCCTACTCTGGGACTGTCTTGGGCATATTGCCCTGGTTATAACGTCTGCACATCTCCATGAATGCACCGTCTGTGGATGCACACCTCCATGATGCACACCTCCATCATGCGCACCTCTATCCATGCATACCTCCATGATGCACACCTCTATGATGCACTCCTCCATCATGCACTCCTGCATGATGCACTCCTCCATCATGCACTCCTGCATGATGCACTCCTCCATGATGCACACCTCGATTATGCACCCCTCCATGGTGCACACCTATATGATGCACTCCTGCATGATGCACTCCTCCATGATGCACACTTCCATGATGCAGTCCTCCTTGATGCACATCTCTATGATGCACTCCTACATGGATGCACATCTCCATGCTGCACACCTCTATGGTGCACACCTCCATGATGCACTCCTCCATGATGCATGCCTCCATGGCGTACTCCTCCATGGACGCACGTACACTTCTCCATGATGCACTCCTCCATGATGCACACCTCTATGATGCACTCCTCCATGATGCACACCTCCATGATGCATTCCTCCTTGATACACACCTCCATGCTGCACACCTCCATGGTGCACACCTCCATGATGCACTCCTCCATGGATGCACATCTCCATGGTGCACACCTCCATGATGCACTCCTCCATGGATGCACACCTCCATGCTGCACACCTCCATGGTGCACACCTCCATGATGCGCTCTTCCATGGATGCACTTCTCCATGCTGCACACCTCCATGCTGCACACCTCCATGGTGCACACCTCCATGGATGCGCACCTCCGTGATGCACACCTCTGTGATACACTCCTCCATGGATGCACACCTCCATGATGCACACCTCCATGATGCACTCCTCCATGGATGCACACCTCCATGCTGCACACCTCCATGGTGCACACCTCCATGATGCGCTCTTCCATGGATGCACTTCTCCATGCTGCACACCTCCATGATGCGCTCTTCCATGGATGCACTTCTCCATGCTGCACACCTCCATGCTGCACACCTCCATGGTGCACACCTCCATGGATGCGCACCTACGTGATGCACACCTCTGTGATACACTCCTCCATGGATGTACACCTCCATGGTGCGCATGTCCACGATGCACACCTCTGTGATACACTCCTTCATGGATGCACACCTCCATGATGCACACCTCCATGGATGCACACCTCTGTGATGCACACCTCTGTGATACACTCCTCCGTGGATGCACACCTCCATGATGCTCTCCTCCATGGATGCACACCTCCATAATGCACACCTCTGTGATACACTCCTCCATGGATGCACACCTCCATGGTGCGCATGTCCACGATGCACACCTCTGTGATACACTCCTTCATGGATGCACACCTCCATGATGCACACCTCCATGGATGCACACCTCTGTGATGCACACCTCTGTGATACACTCCTCCATGGTGCACACCTCCATGATGCACTCCTCCATGGATGCACACCTCCGTAATGCACACCTCTGTGATACACTCCTCCATGGATGCACACCTCCATGGTGCACACCTCCATGATGCTCTCCTCCATGGATGCACACCTCCGTAATGCACACCTCTGTGATACACTCCTCCATGGATGCACACCTCCATGGTGCACACCTCCATGATGCACTCCTCCATGGATGCGCACCTCCGTGATGCACACCTTTGTGATACACTCCTCCATGGATGCACACCTCCATTATTTACACCTCCGTGATATACTTCTCCATGATGTACACCTCTGTGATACACACGTTCGTGATACACTCCTCCGTGGATGCACACCTCCACGGTGCACATGTCCATGGATCACATCGTGTTTGCGAAAGGCTGTGCCTGCTGTGCTCCGACAGCAGTGTTTCAGAGTTTGTGTCAGGCACTTCTTTGCTAGAACTTGGTATTCTCAGGCTTTATTTGTTGCCAGTGTAGTGAGCGTGTAGTGGAATCTCATGCAAGGACTAGCTTTTCAACAACTTCTCTATCAGATAAGAAAGCAGAGATCGACATCCTGGCTGCTGAGTATATCTCCACGGTGAAGACTCTCTCTCCAGACCAGCGTGTGGAGCACCTGCAGAAGATCCAGAGCGCCTACAGCAAGTGCAAGGAGTACAGCGATGACAAGGTGCAGCTGGCCATGCAGACCTATGAGATGGTGAGGAGGGGATGTGGGGTGGGGCTGGGGAGGCCTGGGATGGCGGGTTGGGAGGGTTGAGGGGGGCCTGGGCCATAGGCCTCTCCAAACTGCTCAGAAATGGTGTGTCCGAGACGGAGGTCAGGCTTTGATAGGGTGAGGCTTCTAGAGAAAGTACAAATCCGTGTGTCCTTCACCTGGGGCTCTTTCTACTTGTTTGTTTGCTTGGGGGAGCTGTTCGTCTTTATATATATTTTTTTAGTGTGTGCTCTTGTCACCTTTAGGTAAAGTCTTAGAATTTGTTCTGTCTAGTTTCCTCTCAAGGAGGCTTCCCTTGGGGCCCCTGCGGTGGCACACAGCCGTTGTCCTACACCGCCTGTGAGGTCATGAAGCACTGCCGTCTTCGCAGGCTGCCACCTGCTCACTCCCTCCTGCGCCTCCCCCAGTAAAACGGACAATTTCCTAAAAACCTGAATTAAGTTGTATCCAAAGAAGAACACTCTAGAAGGAGAACTTAATGTTCATATTTGGGATTTCGGTGCCCCAATGTGCGGTGCCTTTAGGGTAAGCAGCCTGTTTTCTAAATAGTTAGGTTTGATCAGTTGTCCTTAGACAAGTTTCTCTCTGATGCATAAGGAAGTTGAAGATTGTAGTTCATTCCCAGACATGGAGGGGTACCGTCGCCCCTCCCTTGCGGACCATGACGTACAGCGTTGGTTGATGGTCATGAGCCAGCTGGATAGAGGGACCCGCTGTGGCCATTCATTGTGAAGTCCTTGCGATTTCTCAGTGGGAAGGTCTCCTCTCAGGAGTAGTACAGCGGTTACTGCTGCTGGTGGCTCTGGCTGTCCTGCCTCCCCTTTCTTACACCTG